ATATGGAGTCCAGATCCCTCACCTTCTTCTGGATGGTGTTGAGGTTGTTGTTAATATCCCTCCTAAAATATGGCCAGCCTTGGGGCAGCTAGGTGGCGCAGTGGATAGAGCTCTGGCCTCGGGTGTCAGAAGGACCTGAGTTCAAATCTGCCCTCAGACACTTGACACGTTCTAACTGTGTGACCCTGGGCAAGTCACTTAACCCTGATTGCCTCACTCAAAAAAAAAATATGGCAGCCTTAACTAAGAGGCGGCATGGTATAGTGCATGCCTGAGCTTGAAATCAGGAAGACTTGGGTTCAAATCCTGCTTCAGATACTTATTAGCTATGTGACTCGATCTCTCTGTACCTCAATCTCCTCCTGTACAAAATGAGGGGGTTAGACTTGGTGACCTCTAAGGTTCTTCCCAACTAAATCTATGGTCCTATGAATATAACATGGTGGATTGGAAGCTCCTTGAGGTTAATGGCCTGTTTTTCCTGTGTGAGTATGTCTGTAACCCCAGTGTCTGAGAGGCAATGTGGAGAGAGAGAGAGCTAGCCTCAGAGTGGAGAACCTGAATTCAAATTCTACCTTTGCGATATACCTGCCTTGGGACTCTAGGCAAATCACAATTTTTCAAACTACAACCTCCTTACAAGCAACCATTTCTCTTTTGCCTTTCTATCTCCCCCAGCACCTAACGTGACATCACTTTGTACATTCTAAGCTCATAACAAATGTTTGTTCATTATCTCTGGCAACGCTCTAAAACTACAGGCTCCAGATAGGTCTCTGATCTGTATCTTCAGAGGGAGTTTTCAGATCGAGAGTTCTTTACACTGATGAAATCCCAGGTCCAGATACACTCCAGCACAGAGCCAATACCTTGTCTCTCATTATTGGGCTTGGGCTGGCCAACAGCCTGATTGGGCAGTGGGATAATGAAGGAAAGGATAACGTTCCGGGCCACATCCTGAACCTCTGAGACTGACGTCAGGGAAATCAATCATGTCTTCATTTGAAAGAGACCAAACTGATCTAGAGAACTCATGGAGCTCACCCAATGGGGGCACGTCAGGTATTCTTGAACGTGAATGGGAAGATGTCCTCCCCTTTCTGTGCTCACTGTTGCCCTGATCCACCAGGAAAACCAAACCCAGATCACACCACAGCCTCTCGTGTTAGGATACACTTCCCCAATTGGCTGCACGTTGTCGCTGAATTCCCTGGTAAGCTGATCTGGAAGTAAATGTTCCCACAGATGTGCCAGTGGTAAGGCTAGCTCCTTGCCCTCTCCTCCATCAGGTAGCAGGACTCCGAGAGTTTGGGTTAAGGCAGTTCACATCTTGCTTTAAAAGTCTCTAAGGTACCTTCCTTTCCATCACCCTGGGAGGTGAGTGCCCCCATCCTCCCATGTTCTGTCAGACCCTGGAACTCATGCACGTAGGCAGTCCCCTCAACAGTGCAGATGGCCGTGCACCCCTACCTGCCCATTCAGTATGTCTTTTATCCATGCCTTCCCATAAGTGCGCTTCAAGGGGTCCATCTAACTTGCTGGGGGTCTTCCTTTCATTCCATCCACATTCCAAGTATCCCGATGGGCATGTAGGCTAGTGACTCCTCATGTGACTGGATCATCTCTTCTGATACAGGTAGTACAAATATTATGAGCCTCACATTAAAGCTGAGGAAACTGAAGCTCAGAGAGAATAAAGTTACTTGTCTAGGGCTGCACTGCTAGCGTTTCGAAGGAGTCTAGGTTTTCCGACTCCCGGTGCTGCACATCCTAGGTCTCAGTTTCCCCTTTTGTAGACTGAGGGGGTTCTTGACTCTTTTCTGTGTGTCATAACTCCCCCTCCTCCCTCACTTGTCAGTCTAGTGAAGCCTACGGGTCCCCCCTTTTTCTTAGATAATTGGGGCTAAGTAACTTGCCCAGGGTCACACAGCTACTAAGTGTCAAGTGTCAAAGGCCACATTTGAACTCAGGTCCTCCTGACTCCAGGGCTGGAGTTCTATCCACTGTAGATCTCTTCCTAAAATAATGTTTTTAAATGTATAAGACAAAATACATAGGATTATAATAAGAACCGATTGTGTTGAAATAGTTAAAAATATGTATTTTTTAAAAGTTCACTTATCCTGGGTTGAGAACCCTTGGACTGGATGACCTCTGAGGGCCCTGCCCTCTCTAAACCTGTGATCCTTCGGCTCCCCCGTCACCCCGTGCCTGGCTCGGGGCATCTGCTAGCTATTATAAAGATCATTTCCCAGACACCTCTAAAAGGGAGTCTAGAAGAGCAGCTGCTGCCTGGGGAGGGAGGAAGGGAGGGGAGAGGGAGGGAGCGAAGGAGGAGCTAGTGGGAGTGAGGCCCAACTCCTGCCTCCTGCCCAGGGAAGGGATCAGTTTTACTTCCTAACAATAAGCCAGTTCTTCTCATAAATAGCTAATGAGGGCAGGATGTGGCTTTTTGGTCTCCACCCCAGTCAGGAACAAGAGGCAGGTGAGGGAGATGTGCCCACGCCTCACACCCATCACACTTTTATCGGCCTTGGGCGAGGGAGATGTTTCTCCCACCACCTCTTGGCCAAGCCAGGTGCTTTGGAGGCGCCAGGCAAGGGAGAGAGGGCAGGGCAGCTTTATCTGGAGAAGAAAGGGCCAACTGGGGTGTCGGGCAGGCTGGGAAGCCGAGTTCTCAGAGGGCCAAGGGAGTCTGCAGGTACAGCAAGCACCAGAGGCCCAGGGTAGTTCCAATTCTCTCCCAGTTCTCAAGGAAGGCCATTAAACAACGCCTTCAGGGATGCACTGAAGCCGTTTTGCTAACATTCCCCGCCCCCCATCAGAGAATGGGGCACAGGTCCCTCTAAGCCAGCATTTCCTCCAATTCATTTAGCCACAGGAGACTTTATGGGTCCTGTCAATACATTTGGTCCATGGGGTCTGGACTATCCTTGGAATAAAGGAGGAAGGGGCCAATCAACAAGCAGCATTTATTAAGGGACTACTAAGTCCCTCTCAATGGGTGAGGAAGGGGACGGGGGAGGGAGAGAATTTGGTACTGAAAATAAAATCAAATTGAATTTTTCTAAAAGTGCCTACTGCCAGGCATTATGAAAGGAGGGAAAATGATTGCGTATTCATATTTTTGATGCATAATTTTATATCTAATATTTTGTGAGAAGCAGCATGATGTATATAGTCTTGGACTTGAAGTAGAGAAGGTCTGGGTTCAAATCCCACCAATGACACTTCCCAGTGGTGTGAATACAGACGAGGCTCTGCATTTTTCTGAGCCTCAGTTTCCTCATCTGCAAATGGGGAGAATAAGGCCTACAGTATTTTCCTCAAAGGGCAGCTGTGAAGCTCAAATGAGATAATAGGGTATAAAATCTTTTGGAGATTTTAAAACAACTAGGACAATACTTGTTAATATGATATTTATAGGGAGCTTTATGCTTTGTAAAATGCCTTGCATCCATTATTACACGGATTCTAGGTAAAATACTATCCACTGCACCACACCATCTCTCTAAGTCTCAACTGTTAACTATTTTTGAGTGAAAAATACCACCAGTATGCAAGCAATGCTTTTAGATAATGACTCACAGTCCCATGAAAGGGAGGGAAATGGACTCTCTGGAAGCAGGACTTTGTCCAGGGTCACTCAGCATTAGGTGGGACAGTAGAGGCACTGGACCACCACCAGGTGGGCCAGGTCTAGGCCAGGCACTGCCACCAAGGAGCCCTGTAACTTTGGCAAGCCCCTTTTACTGCTCTGGACATCAGCTTCTTTATTGGTAAAATGGGTAGGTTGGAATGGCTGGCTTCTCAAGTCCCTGTCAATGCTAGCATTCTGTGAATGTGGAGCTCATGCCCCACTGGGCACAGATGGGGCTTTATTCTCTTGTTACAGGACTCTGCAGTTGGTAAGGGTAGGGGGCATGATGCCATCCTTGATGGGGAGCAAGAGTGTGAGCTCCAAAGATGGCATCGTGTTTGGGTCACCATCCCTCCGGCCTGATCGCTCAGCCCTTTTGTGAGAAGCCAGCCTGGTGACATCCTCTGACAGACAGCTTTGGCTCTGGGCTCTCAGGCAGAAGAAAGGAATGGAGGAAAGGGGGTCATGTCAGAGAGTCCCCCTGAGCAAGAGACTGCAGTACGTTCAGGCCCATTCCCAAGTTCAGTAGGGCAGGAAGGCTAGCTCCTGCCATCCTCCAGGCTAAGGTGCAGGTGCCAGATGGGGATAGGGGCAAGAGACTCAGATGGAATACAGACTGGTGTAATGTGCAAAGAGCCCTGGGGTCAGGGTCAGAGGAGAACTGGGTATGGATGCCAGATGGGGGTGGGGGGGTGAAGGAGGGGCAAAAGGCCCATGTTAGAAAGAAGGTGGTCTGCTGTAAGTGGAAAGGGCCTCCTGGATTTGGGGTCACAGGATCTGTTGATGAATCTCTGGCTGTTCTGCTCCTTACAAACCTCATGTGATTTTGACCAAGCTGACTAAGTCACTTAGCCTCTCTGGGCTTCAGGCTTTCCATCCACACAATGGGGGAGCGGGGCACAGAGGGGTGTGTGTACTGGCCTAAATGATTGTCAAAATCCCTTCTAGCTCTAAATCCTATGATCTCAGTTACAGCCCCTAGGTTCCTGTCCACCACCATCCCCGTCCCTGCCCCGCCCCCCCAGTCCACTTCTAACTACTATGTAAGTAAGTAGTAATCTTGGGCAAATCCCTTCCCCATTTTGAACCTCAGTTTCCCCATCTGTAAAATGAGGGGGCCGGCCTAGATCCTGCTAAGGTCCCTTTTCGCTCTAAGTTCGCGAACCTGGTACCTCCTCCTCATCCTCATCCTCCAGCCGGTGACCTTGGGCACATCCCTCTCTCCACTCTGAGCCTCAGTTTCCCCCTATGTAAAAGGAAGGGGCCAGCCTTCACTGCCTCCCCACCCCCGCGCAGGTTTCTTCCTCAAGCGCCCCGGCTCCGGGGGCACCCCCTGGCGCCGGCCCCCTCCCCCGCGCACCTGCAGCTCGTCGAAGGCGTCGTCGATGCCCGTGACCTGGTGCTGCTCGTGCAGGGCAGGCTCGTCGCAGAAGAAGCAGACGAGCGCGCGGTCGGTGAGGCAGAAGAGCTTCACCTTCTCGTGGGCCTGGCAGGGCAGCGCGGCGCGCCGGGCGCTCAGGATGGCGTCCAGCGGGAAGGCGCTGTAGCGCTCCACGATGTTGGCCAGCTTGAGGCTGGGAGCTAGCGCCGGCTCGGCGAACGTGCGCCGGCACTCGGGGCAGTCGCGGGCGCCCTGGGCCTCCTGCCGCACCCAGTGCTCGGTGATGCAGCGGCGGCAGAAGTAGTGCTCGCAGCCCAGGCTCACCGGGTCCTGGTAGATGCTCAGGCAGATGGAGCACAGCAGCTCGTCCTTCAGGCTGCACGCCATGGCTGCAGTGCGCCCGGGATGCCGGCCGCCCCCTGCCCCGGCAGGGCCGGCCAGGGGCACCCACTCACCCGGGGAAGGGACGGAAGAGGGAACGCGGGAGGAGGGGGCGCGCCCAGGTGCAGCCTGCCGCCACCGGCCCCGGTCTCCTTCCCCACCGTCTGGCTCCGCGTCCCCGGCCCCGACTCCCTCCGGCTGCGCTCAGGACCCAGGGGAGCAGCCCAACCCGGAACAGGCGGCGCTGGGGGAGCGGAGACGGCGGCGGCCGGCTGGTCCGTCCCGGGCGGAGCCTGGAGAGCCGAGCTCCGCCCCGACGGGGGAGGGACGATGCGAGGCAGCTGCTCCAAGCCCCAGCCAGCCAGACGCTGGCTTCTTCCATTCATAAGCTTAGCGTAGCCTTGAAGGGACCTTAGGGAGCATTTTACAACAAGGGGATCTAAGGGCTGGAGAGGGGGAGGAACTTGTCCAAGGCCACAAGATTACATTATTCTCAGAAACAGGATTCGAACCCGGGGCCCCTGATTCGCGTGCCCTCCCTGCCAGCCTTTTTTCACTGAACTGACTCAAATGGCAGAGGCAGACGTTGCAGTCTTTCGAGGGAGAGCTCTTTGGCCACTTGCCCCTTACCCAGATGTTCTTAGCGCAGAGCGCCCCCTGTTCCAAAAGGCTGTAGGATTTGGAGTGATGGTTAGGGATCATGTCCAAAGACTTCCCTCCCACTCATTTTACAGTTGAGGAAACTGAGGTCCTGAAAGGTCACACGTAGTAAAGAGGAGAACCAGAATTTGAAACTAGGTCTTCTGACTCCAAGTCCAAGACCTTTACAGTTTCCCAGTGGCAATCCTGCCCAGTCTCTTCCTATTAAATTCTGTACCCATCTCATTCATATACACTGTCTGTCTATCTACCTGTCTTTCTATCTACTCACCCACCCATCTATCCATCCATCCATCTTCTGATGGGCAAGCTCTATAGGCAGCCCATCTAACTGTATATCATAATCTGGACAATAGGCATTCTTCATCCAGTTGGTCTTCCATGAATGGATGGTGAAGGTAGTCTTGAAAGTGGGTGGTTACATAGCTCTTCTAGGAGGCTCTGCAATGATTTGGGACTTGATGCAACGGGTGGATATCGTCTGCCAACAAAACATCTAGAGAATAGCACATTCCATAGAAATTCTCTTTTTAACTCGGACTCTGTGCTAGGTCTCCTCCATCATAATGGTAAACACTGCTGACTATCACATTTGCCTGTTTTGTGCTCCCCTGATGTAAATGCTGGGAGGATCACTAAGCAAGGTTCTTTCTATTATATCTTTCAAGGAATCTCAAGCAAGTTTGATGTTAGCATGGAAGACATCTTGGGGGAAGAGAACCTTTAAGATGTGGTTTTTCTTTACTAAATGAAATGCTTTAAAAAAAATCAACAAACAATTAACATGGTGGAAACTTCTATCCTCCACATCTTTCAGTCAGTGGTATGACGGTAAAGATATACAAGGGTGGGGCCACATATGGCCTTCTAGGCCCTTGAGTTTGGTCTTTTGACTGAGTCCAAGTTTTACAAAACAAATCATTTTATTAAGGGGATTTGTTCTGTGAAGTTTGGATTCAGTCAAAGGGCCACACTTGAGGACCCAGAGGGCCACATGAGGCCTGGAGGACGAAGGTTACCCACCTCTGGAAATTGTTGCTTGTGAATGCCTACTTGTTCCCTACCGACACTTTGCCCATCGTGTCCTCACTGCATGTGAAGACTATTCTTATAAAAATTGTATGTGAATAAGAAAACAAGCATATAGGTCGCTAACTGGTCATTCTTTTGGTTAACCTTTATTTTATTAGACTATGAGCTCCTTGCAGACAGGGACTAGTCTTTTGCCTCTCTTTGTATCCCCCAGTGCTTAGCACAGTGCCTGGTACTTAGTAGGTGCTTAATAAATGCTTGTTGATTGGCCAACTGACTTTTTTTTTAGTACTCATAAAATCCTAGATTTTTTCCCATGATTTTGGAATCTTCTCAATGGCCTCACAATGACATCACTTCTCATGTCTTAATGTGGATGGCCTCTCTGCATTCTTGATTAAATTGAGCTACTCCTTCCTGTCTTTGTTTTCTTTAGTGCCTTTTCTATCTCTACTATAAGCAAGTCTAGAATCGTGATGCTGGAGGTGAAATGTAGGGAATCTACTGTCCTTGATGGGGGAAAAGTTTATTGTTGTAGCACCCCCTCCAGTTTATCCCTACTAGGATGTACGAGGTAGATCTTCTGAGAGATGACCATCCCAGGTTCAAGATACTACATTTCTGGAACTAGTTCATGAGCCCCCACTAGTGCATTTACTTGATTTGAATTCTTGACAATTTTGGTGTCTTAAAAAGGAAACAGTGTTCACCATGAGACAGCATGGGTTAATTAAAAAAAAATAGACATTCCGGAAGTCTCACTTCCTTTTTTGTAGGATAGACTAAGGCAGCATTTTGTAGCCGAAAGAGTGCTTGACATGGAGTCAGTCAGAAACACCTGGGTTCAGAACCTGTCCTTGACAATTACTAACTGCTTGACTCTAGACAGGTTATTTAATTTCTATGTGTCTCAGGCAACTCCCCTGCTCTTATCTACTAAGTCATAGATGGGTGGAGATCTGCACTGCTAGAGGGAGTTTTCACATGGAGAATTCCCTAGATCCTTTGAATATACTAGATTAACAGATTGGGGCATTCTGTTAATTCTGCAGTTTGACAAGTCTATCATATCCTTGACAGTGGCTGAATGATAATATTAGTCGGATGAACAGATCTCTAAGAATCATAAAAAGTGGGCCGTGTTAACCTGGGAGGAGGGGGAGGTGGTTTGCCTGTAATGGAATTTCTTAAGAGTCTCTCCTCGACCCTGATCTATTCAATATCCTAAAGGCATCGATAGCAGTAAATATCCAGGTGATGCAGCAGGGAGGGACGTAGAACTCTTTAGATGACAGAATAAGAATCCCAAATGATATATAGAATCTAAGATAAATTTGAGTTGAGATGAATGTAAATTGCTACATTTGCAGTCCAGTCAACTAGGGAGAAGCAAAAAAGATCTGGGAGTCAGAGTGAATTTCAAGCTCAATGTAAGCCATCAGTAATGATCTGGTTTCCCAGAAACCTAATACAAACATGTTGCTTTAATAAAAACATGGCTTCCAGAGCAAGAGAAAAGAGAGTCTTACTGTACCCCTATCTTGGTCAGATCATTTGGAAACTTATGGTCAGTTTTAGGTACTATAGTTTAAGAAGGGCGATGAAGGAACTGGACACTTTTAATCTGAGTAAAGGAAGACTTAGTGGGGTCATGATAGCCGTGTCCAAGGATTTGAAGGGCTGTGATCAAGAAGAGAATTTAGATGTCTTCTGCTTGGCCCCGAGGGCAGATCAAGGAGCAACGGATGTCCGGTGAACATAATGTATGGTAACATTTCCCCATTTCAAGAGCAGAGCACAAGGGATATGTGCTGCCTTAGGAGGTATTCCTTTCTCTGACATTGGAGATCTTTAAGGGGGGGAGGGAGAGGAACAAGGATTTATTAAGCACCTACTTTGTTCCAGGCACTTGTGCTAAGTGCTTTATAAATAGTATCTCATTTGATCCTCACAATAAGGGGGGGTGGGGTAGATGACCAGTTACAGTTCTCCAGGATATTATAGATGGAATTAAGGTTGGGGAAAGGATGGACTAACACGATGCCTCTGAGGTCCCTTCCAAATCTGAGACTCTAGAGGCTATTGAAATAATCCAGTTATAAGATAAGGGGCCTGGACTAGGTTAATGAAAAGGAAGGGATGGTGGAAAGGATCTTTGGAAGAAAGAATTGGCAGGACCTGATGACTGTGGGTTATGGGAATGACCAAGAAGAAATGAAAATTTTCAACTCCTTTATACCTTTTCATAAGCTGCTTCAGATGAGAGTTTAGAGCCATTTAATTCCAGATCCAGAATATTAGAATTCAAAAGGAGCTCAGAGACTACCTGGTCTAGCCCATATCTCAACAAGAATCCCCTCTATGTCATACCCAACAAGTGGCCTGTCCAGTCTTTGCTGGAAGACCTCCAGTGAGGGTGAACTCCTATGGAGGCCCACACCACTTTTGGCTCACTCTCATTGTTAGGAAGCTTATTTTTTTTATTTTTGCCTTTTTTGGTGAGGCAGTCAGGGTTAAGTGACTTGCCCAGGATCACACAGCTAGTAAGTGTTAAGTGTCTGAGGCTGGATTTGAACTCAGGTCCTCCTGACTCCAAGGCCAGAGCTCTATTCACTGTGCCACCTAGCTGCCTCTCTGAGGAAGCTTTTTTGCAAGTTGTATTTGTTGCTTTTGGTTCCGCTCCCTGGGTCCAAGTAGAGGGACTTTAATAGCTCTTGTACAAGCCAGCCAAAGAGAGCCAATTTGTCCTCCCCTTCACCCCACCTTCCACCAAGTCTTCTCTTCTGCACGAGAAACATCCCCAGCTCCGCCAGCTAATCCTCATGTGGCCCTTCAGCACCGTGGCCATCCTGCTCTGCACGCTCCCCGATTTGTCACCAACCTTCCCAAATTGATAAATTCTCTTAAAGTTCTAAACCATCTCTCTTCTACAGCTGATGCCCATTCCTATCCTATCATCAGGGTAGCAGCTCATCCTCACAGAATCCTTTCATACGGAATTCCCAATTTCCAGCCCAATGGAGTCTTCCCTCTGTTGACTATCTCTACTTTATCCAGGATAAATCTTGTTGGCACACAGTCATTTGCTTATTGTCTCCCCTGTTAGACTAGGTTAGATTAGGTTAGGACTGGGTTTTTGTCTTTCTTCATAGCACTTAGTACAATCAATGCCTGGCACATAGTAGGTGCTTAATAAACATTGACTAACTCTCTGATAGAGGGTTAGTGGCTGAATAACACTGATTGAATGACCAGACCACTAAGAGAAGTAAATAATGGACTTGCTTGTCTATAGATGTGTCCCTAACCAGACAGGGAAATGAGGAGCAGAGCTCCTGTTGAGATACCCTGCTATCAACTATACTTTTCAAAAAAACTCTTTTTGATATTATAGATATTCTGAGGTAATGGCTTGGGGTCTCTCCCTACCCAATCTTGGCCTTCGTTCTGGGGTTTTCAAACTTTTGGAAATTATGGAATTTTTGTATTAAAAGAAGGTGGAGAAGGGGGATGTTTGGGAGTCAGGATTAGTAAAAAGCATTGAACAAAAAAAAGGAAGAA